GTCTGGGTTCCCCCCCCCCCAGGTGCCTGTCAGGGCCTGGGTTTCAGCTGTCCACACCACAGCAGTGGGCTACGAGCTTAAAGCCCCTGATGGCTCTCGGCGCTGACTCTCACCCTCTGGGCGCTGACTCTCACCAGTGGCTATGGATGAAGTCACAGGCGATTTTCAGCCAGCGCCAGTTCACCCTCTTATCTTATGTAATCATTAATACTGCCACTGGGATTCGAAGAATGGGGGGAACAAAGTGACGTGGAGGGCATAGTAATAAAACAGGCATAGGCAAATTTACTGTTGAAACATCAATTTTAAATAAATCACCATTTGTTAAGGCAGTCAGTGGTGATGACCCAAAGGGAAAAGAGCTCTTTAATCAGGGCACCGTGAGGTATGGCCGAGCCAGCACTGCTTTCTAAGAGGTCCATTGAGAAACTCAATGTCCTTTTTTTTACCCACATGACCAGGGTTACAAAATCATAGATGCTTTAAACAGCAAAAGTGCACACCTGGCTGTCAAACAGCGATTGGAAAAGTGCCTTCCAAGCCATAACTCTTACTAATACTCCCTTGTGGATCAACCAAATCCAATCCCGTACCTTTGCAGCTTCTACCATGCGAGCAGTAGAGTCAGCCAGGAGTTTTGCTGCTGCCAGGAGCTTCTTTGAATTCTCCATGTCGATTTCAGCTTCTGCGTCTGAGCGCATGGCATTGACCAGGTCTGAAGTGGCTTGGGCCAGCACCCGGGCCTGGCGCACCATCTCACCTGGATGAGGGAGCAGAGGTACAGTTTGTTTCTCTGCTTTTTAACTTTCACTTGAACCTGAACAGAATGATCTTATTTCTCAGGCAAACTGGCTGGTAAGAGCTATGCCTCATATCTGACTTCTAGTCTTAAACATGGTACTCCAGTGAGACTCAGCACTGAAAATGTTCTCTATGGCTACAGGGACCGCACACTCAAAACAGATCTAAGTTGTATTTTAATGGGCAACGTGAGAGAATTGATACAAACAATCAAAGAGGAATGAGTGTTGGTGGTACAACAGGTAAGTGCTTGGCATCTAACGAAAAGGTCTGTGGTTTGAACCAGCAGTCTCTCTACTGAAGAAGAGACCTGGTCATTTGTCCTCAGAAAGGTTACAGCTGAGGGAATCCTGTGGGACAGGTCTGCTTGTTCTATAGGGTTATAATAGGCAGAAACTGACTCGACAGCAACTAACAATAACCAAAGAAGAAAAATTTATAAAGAGGAAGCGGAGAACAAAATGATGTGGATATTACTTTCAATAAATATTGATCAGGAAAATACTGTTTATTTTAATAGCCTACTTATATAAAACTCCTAATAATGAACTCTTTGAAATTATTTTTAAATTTTGCATTAAATGATATCATGTAAGTAAAATCCACTATGCTTGTGCCATTTGGCTCTGGCTAACAGAACGCATGAATGCCAGGTTCACACTGAAATGACAAGATTTCCCTTGGCCAAGAGATTTTTCCATCATTTTTCTATGTCCCTATTTCTTCCCAGGACTGATACTAATTTGCACTATGATTTGTTTGGTCTTATTGTCCCTGCTATTTCACTGAAATTTGTTGCAATTTCTTTTCTGGAAGTGGCTGAAGGATAACAGTCAACAATACAGCTATTCAAATGTAAGGATTTCTTTCTTTTCTCTCAAAAGCCACTGGAGAAGAATGTTGAAGTACTGAAACATTGGAGGGGGAGAAGGAAAGCGTCTTTAAAAAATCAAAATATGTTGAATGTAATGTGGTGTCACAGACTGGATCTTGGAACAATCAAAGGACAACAGTGAAAAATTGGTGTGATCTGGATAAGTTTTAGTTCCTAGCAACGCAATGCACCAAAGCAAATGTGCAAGAATTTGGGCAAGAATTTCAAAATGGGGAACGTGTGGAAGGGTATATAGAAACTGTGTCATCTTTGCAACTTTTCTGTAAATCTGAACATCTTTTAAAGTTTAAGTTAATGGGGGGAAGGAAACATATATAGAGTTTCTATCTTCTTAAATAATTTCAGAAGTCATAGTAAACCCAAGATAATTTTCTAGAAACTACCTGGTACATATATTTCTGTGTTGATGAGGAAATAGAGAAGCAGACTGATAAGAATTTATAAAGTACACCAAGATACTTTATAAACTAGAAGTTTTTTCCCTGCCTTTGGGAGGAAGCCTGCCCTTGCCAGTTCTACTTCACCTCCCTTCCGCATATTTCTTAATTTCAGGGAGGCCCCCACTGCCCCCCTCCCCAGTTCGGCTCTCACCAGCATCACCCATGGAACTGAAGATGCTCTCAGTGACACACATGATGGTGTCGGTGGCCTGGTCGTAGCGGCCGATGGGCTCGCCTCGGCTGGCAAACTGTCGCACGTGCTGCAGGAGGTCGTGCAGGGCCTGGCTGACCACGCTGGCCGCTGCGCTGACCTGCTTCAGGAGCTCAGCGTCGTCGGTGGCTGCCTGGCAGGCGCGGACACAGTTCTCCACTGAGCGGTCCACGAGCTTGCCGGCCTCGATCAGCTGCTCCTGGCACACAGGGGAGCTGATGGTGGGGCTCACCACCTGCAGTGAGACAGACGCAGGGCTTAGGTCCTGGAGGATGAGCCTTGGGGCCTGTAGTACTTCCACTGAGGCCCTTCGTGGAGTGCACCTCCGTTCCTTACAGAAACAGTGATTACACTACACCATTGTCAAGGTCACTGAATTGTCACTGTGATTTCAGATGTTCTGCTAATTTATATGTGAGTAGTGATCATCTGTTTGATTGACCATTTCCACAGGGAGAAATGGCCAGGATTTGCCAACATGTCACCTCCTGTTAGACTCGCAATCTTCTGAACTTGGAAATTCATAAAAGAATTGTATTTCTCTTTCCAAAGATACTTGGGACTCTAATTCATGAATCTGAAAGACCAGGAAAGTTCTGTCACTCTGAGTCATACGTGACTCGATGGCACACAATGACAGCAATTAGCTATTTGTGGATTTCAAGAAGGCAGACAAGGAAATCAGGAGGGAGATTACCAAGGTTACGTCTAAAATAATGCTGCAAACCCTCCTGTAAAGCAAGAAATACCAGGCTAAGGCAGATCGGTGATCTGAACCATGTGATGTGTCACTGCACTGGGACACAGATTTCTGCCATCTTTTGATACATCACTCCAGCGGCAGCACACTTTGTGGGAAGACGGGACATTCTGAGTTGTGCAGAGTTGAGTTATAATCTCAATTCTGCCATTTATTTTCTGCTTCTGTAGCCTTAAAACATTTCTCAAACATCTACGAGCATCCGTTTCCTCATCAGTAAACTGGGGATGATAACACTTAATTGGCAGGCTTGCTGGGGAGATTTAACAAGTGTGCACCTCCTAATTGGCAATAATTAACATCTTCACTCTGACACTGTGGAATGTAGAAAGGGCTCTCAGAATCTCCGTGGATCAGTTCTGAAGCCATTTATAAAGCCGCACTGCACAGCCCAGGAACATTTTGTGTGCAGATGTAAATAACACATACTGAGATGTCCAAAGACGGGGGGTGGGGTGTGGTTATACAGATTTACATGCAGAAATCACAAGAAGAGGCAGAAACGTTCTAATTGCCTGAGCATTTGTGCAAAAAAAGAAATGATAAAAGGACTGGAGAATTCATGCTACAATCCCATCATATTCCAAGAAAACATCTGAAGCAAATATTTTAATAAGTTTCCCCATACCTCCCAAATGATGGGAGGCAGGTGAGAAGAGTATGCGGGACTTTGTAAAGGGTTGGGAGAACCAGCTGGCTTACCTTGGCACAGGCCACAAGCTGGGAGGTAGAGAGGGCACACTGGGTGGCGGCGGCAATCACCCGATTCTGCAGGACTGTATCCTCGGCCACCTGGGCAACATTCTTCGCCTTTAGTACCAACATGGCAGCAGCATTGGCAACAGCTTTGGCCAAACTCATTAAAACATCCTGAGGAGAGGAATCAAAAGTGGTTGATGAAAATGGTTTTCTCTAATCACCCATCATAGCCTGAACATAAAAAGTGGCTTCTAGCAAAACATTTTCTTTTTTTTCTTTTGTTTATTATTTTTGTGTGAGTGTACCGTCAAATCAGATCTGACTGGTATAGGAGGAGATTGTCCCTCCTTCCCCAGCAGAGCATCTGGTGGATTCGAACCGTGCGCCTCTGGGATTGTAGTTGCAGCTCCTTGTCACTAGGCCACCAGAGCTTCCCAGCAAAACATTTTCTTAAAAATTCCATTTGATCTTTTCTCTTTAGCAGTTCAGAATGTTATTTTTCCATTTATTTTTGTGAAATGTCAATTCGTCCTTAGAAGAGACTTGCATTCTAATAAGGTTTCTTATATGATAGATAGTGAAGAGATTGAGATTGTTGATAGCTTCAGTTTGCTTGGCTCTATAATCAACACTCTTGGTACCAGCAGCAAGGAAATTAAAAGACAAATTGCATTGGGAAAGTCTGCTGTCAGAGGCTTCTCCAAAGTACTGAAGAGCAACAATGTCAGTCTGGAGACTAAGGTGCACCTGATACAGGTAATGGTCTTTGCAATCACTTGCTATGCACCAGAGTGCTGGACAATGAATAGGGATGATAGGAGAACTGATGCCTTTGAGCTGTGGTATTGGAGAAGAGTACTAAATATACCATGGACTGCTGGGAGAACAAACAAGTTCATCCTGGAGAGGGTGAAGCCAGGCTGCTCCTTGGAGGCAAGGATTCTGATGCTTCATCTGACATACTTCAGACATGCTGCAAGGCGGGGCCAGTCCTTGCAGAGGAATGCCATGCTTGGGAGGGTGGAGGGACAGTGCAGGAGATGAAGACCCTCAAAGAGATGGATTGATTCAGTGACTGAAGTAACGGGGTTAGGTGTTTTGGAGACAATAAGATTGGCAAGGAATAGAGCAAGGTCTCTGAGTTGCAAGCAACTCGACGGTACATAACAACAACAACAACAACAACAACAACAACACTGTCCATAAAGTAACACAGGTTTAGATCTGAAATCAGTTCATTTGAAAGGAGATGCCTTCATTTTAGCCACTGATTCATATACCCACATCTCTTGAATAAGAAGCAAGTATGCTTTGAAGGAGAGCCTTGAAAATATGTCTAGATGCCACAAGCACCAGGTACTGTAGGGAGGTTGTAATTCATGGCCACAAAGTCATAATGCCTCATTGTAACTTGAAAATTTCTCTTGGGTTTGTACTCTACAAAAGGACTCCAGTTATCATCAGAAACTCAGCCATGTCTTTGCCTCCAGAGGGCAACGTTGGACATGCACACACAAATAACTGGCATCAAGACCTACAGCTCATGAGCCCAGGATCTTGTGGAACATAAGTTATTCTCAGCCTGCTGGAGAGGGATTAAATTATTATGGAAAGTGGAAAGGGAGCTTACATAAATAAACCAGCAAAACAGAGATCTGACTGAAGATGCAAGGAGCTCCGACCCCTTGAAGATCAATTTATGCTTCCCATTCAGTGACAAAGCATTTATATGCAGGATGGTGAATCTTTATTTAGCTTACCAGATTTGTCAGTTATTACTGGCTTGATTTGAAGAATAACCACTGTTCTATTTCAGTTATGTCTTTATTTTGAATATTGAAGGCAGCTTGTTTGCTTTGGAAAAAGCCTTCACATACACATAAGTGATTTTTATTTTGCAGGAACACGTCAAAGATTTCTTTGCCCAGGGGAAATGTGGTCAGAAGTATTTATTAATTCATTAGATAATAAAAAGCGCTTTTGATTCAAAATGCAAAGGACATCCACAGTCTAAACAACAAGATGTCTTAGGAGAAGGCAAGGTGGGGAGAATGCTAAGCCTGGACAGTTTTACCTAAAGAGTACACACTACTACGGCAAAATCAGAAAACTATGAATACGCCAAGCCAGCTGTCTTAAAAATGGACAAAACCCAGTGTTAAAGGAGCAGGTTCATTCATTCTTTTTCTTAGGTCTCTGATCTTTGCTTTACATTTGAGGAAGAGACAAAGTCTGTAGTGTTGAAAGTCAAAAGATGCCTTCAGACTCTGCCTGATACTTGGCTACCACACCTTAGAGTCCTTAGAGAAAGCTTCCAGCGTGGACCACAGAGTTACAGCTCCTAAACATGATCTCAAAGTTCAGTGAAAACAGGAATAAGAAACACAAATTACTTATTAAAAATATCCAAACCATCCACTTCTCAAAGTGGATCCTCTATTTAAATCAATCCAGAACAGAACAAAGGAACACTGTCATGGTTTAGAATCAGGAAAAGTGTATGTCAGGGTTGTATCCTTTCTCCATACATATTCAATCTGTATGTTGAGCAAATCATTTGAAAAACTAGACTATACAAAGAACAATGTAACATCAGGATTAGAGGAGACTCATCAACATCCTGTGTTACACAGATGACACAAGCTTAATGGCAGAAAGTGAAGACTTAATGTACTTACTGTAAAATACAGCCCTCAATATGGGTTGCATTGCAACATCAAAACAATAAAAAAATCCTCACCACTGGACCACTAAGCAGCATCATGATAAATGGAGAAGGATCAAAATTGCTAATGATTTACTTTTACTTGAATCCACAACCGACACCCATAGGAACAGCAGTCAAGTAATCAAAAGACATGCTGAAAAGAAACCCCAAATACATAAACAAACAAACAAAACAGAAATGCTTGCTCCATTTGAGGAAATGTGCTATTAAGGACTTATTCAAAGTTCCAAAGAGCAAAGATGTCACTTTAAAGACTAAAGTGTACCGCTCCAAGCTTTGGTACTTTTTCAATTGTTTCCTATGCACCTGAAAGCTGGCCAATGGATAAGGAAGACAGAAGAAGAGATGCCTTTGAATTGCAGAGCTGGGAAAACCAACTGTGTATCACACAGATTGCCAAAAGAACAAATGAATCTGTCCTGAAAAGTGCAACCAAGATTAAAGATGGTGAAACTTTGTCTCGCTCACATTGGGCATATTTTCAGAGAGAACCAGGCCTTAGAGAGAGGCATCACGGTGGGAAAGATCAGTGAGAGAGAAGCACCCTCAAGGAGAGGGACAAATACAGTGCAAGGCAGAGATCATGAAGACAGAGCAGGACAGGGGAAGGTTCAGATCTGTTTATAGGGCCACAGTGCTTCATAGCTGACTTGATGTCACCTAACAACAACCTATCAATCCATTCTTTCACACACGACCAAGGTTTGGTTATAAAGAATCATAAAGACATGTCTTAGAATAATTTCAAAAAATCCTGATGCTCCTACTAATTTTCTATTTTAAAAAACAACACACAGACAAACAAAAGAGAAACAAGCCCTAAAACATAACTTGAGCCATACAGTCAGAAAAAAAGAACTTGATACTACAGTTACAGTTGCTGACAAGGCCTTTGTTGAACTTTTTAACAAGCCCACTATTATGCAGCCAGTGTAAAATATATCTTTGTTAACTCTGGGAACACGCAGTACATTGAGAGACCAAGAAAAGCTCCAGGATAGGATCTCAAGAATCAGAAAAAATGGAGAGTCAGAAATCCAGTGTCAATAAACTGGAGGCTACTCCCAAGCGGAGAAGTTGTCCTATCATCTTTCTGCTCTGCGGTTTACCTGGAGACCTTGCAGGGAGGGGAACCACTTAAAAGAGCCCTTTCCATGCTAGCAGAGCCTCTCCAGAATAGCACACTGAACCTCAACCTGCTTCCTTAGTGTGTTTAAACAGAAACAAACATCTAAATGCAGAGCTTGCATTCATCCACAGTGAAAATAGTTTGTCAAAGGCCAAAAAAAAAAAAAAAAAGCATAGCTTTTTAAAAAAAAATTTAAGAATGCATGAGATATCTTAAGCCAGAACTATGACTTCCTTCCCAATCTTTGGGAAATGATAATGTTTTTCAGAAAAAGTAAGCAGGGAGCTCTGGGGGCCTAGTGGTAAGGAGCTGCAACTACAATCCCAGAGGTGCACGGTTCAAATCCACCAGATGCTCTGCCGGGGAAGGAGGGGCAATCTCCTCCTGCACCAGTCAGATCTGATTTGACGGTACACTCACACAAAAATAATAATAATAATAAAAAAGAAAAAAAAGAAAAAAAATATTTAAAAAAAAGAAAAAGTAAGCAAATTACTTCAGAGTAAGCCTAGGATATCAGTACCTAAGTTTTAAAATCTTCCTAATTGCTAACTAGGCACTTGCCTATTAGAACTGCCCACCCTTGTACAAGAAGTAAAGGCTAATGAAATTCTACAGTGTTCTCAGCCATCTTGGTACTGAGTTTGGAAAAAGCTATCATCCAGGGAATTTAGGCTAAGCCGTGATGTCTAAATTACAATGCAAAATTAAGACGTAAGGGGAGGAGGCGGAGAGGGAAAGGATCCGGATCACAAATAGTGAGAAGAGAAGCTCGTCTTAGCTTGATTCTTCCCAGCGGGAGGCCTCTGACGCTCCATCTCTGATGTGTAGTGGCAGGGATGAAGGGAGGCAAGCAAGCTAAGCCAGTGTCTAAGCTGCAAAGTGGTGCTACCGGCAGAGCATGGAGCCAGCTGCAAACAGTGGCTACAGCTGCGCACCAGAGGACAAACAGTCCGTGTCCCAGGCATTCAAAAGAGCAGTCACAGAACAGCTTGTCCATTGCTGGTGTGGTTCTGGATGGGCCAGGAAAATAATCACTTCTGAACACAAAGAGAAGCCTGGACTCCACATGTGTGCACATGTATGTATGGGTGTGAATACTTTCACTCTACTATCTGAACTTGGGAGTGAAGCAGTTGAAAAAGAAATAAAACTCCCATAGGTAAAACAAGATTGGCTATGAATTGATAGGGATAAAATTTGGATGGTCGATAGAGACACAGAGTTGGTGACACTGTTCTCTCCTTTTGTTGTTTGCAGAATGCCCAGAATAAGATCTAAATAAGTACATTCTTCTTTTTTTTAAAAAAATTGTATTATTTTTACGTGTACCATCAAATCCGTTCTGACTGGTACAGGAGGCAATTGTGCCTCCTTCTCCAGCAGAGCATCTGGTGGATTTGAACTGCGTACCTCTGGGATTGCAGTGGCGCATCTTGCCACTAGGCCACCAGAGCTCCCTTTAAATAAGTACATTCTAACGATTGCACATGATAAACCTGCCGTGAGCTTTTCCATTAAAAACATGTTTAAAAAATTAACATAAAGCACTTCTCTCTTTTGGTATAACACACACTGACCCCATTCTTGATGGTTCAGGAAAGACTAGGCTTGTATTGCATCACAGGCAGGCCTGACTTTTGAACAAGACTTGTGCCTACTGTCTTTGAGACTTCCGTAGATGAGCACAACAAGTTGCACACAGTCTTATTTAGCCTTACTTGAGTGCAGCAAAAGGATTTAAGAGCTGCATATGAAGCAAGTAAAGGTGACTGTGACAAAGACTTTGTTAACATGTAGCGGTAAGTTCCATAGGGTCTAAATGAGAACAAATGTATGGAACATTAAAGCAGGGCTTCACAGATGGTGATGTACCAAACACAGAGGCAGTCAATTGTGGTATATACAATTCTACATACCACTTAGAACCCAAACTACAGCAAACCCTTGTTGCCGTCAAGTTGAACAGCTCAGCTGACCCTCCAGTAGATTTTCAGAGGCTGCCAATCAGGAGACTGCACGTCTTTCTCTGGCAGCGCCACTGGTGGATCTGAACATGGGGCTGGCACGTCTCTACAGACCATCCCAGCAGAACGCAGTCTCAGGCATCAGGCTTCTGAAAGCGCTCACTACAACTCGTCTGCGTCTTCTGTTCCAGGGCTTCCACTAGTAATTTTCCCATGTCAGATAACATGATTAATGACCCAAATTGTAAAAATTCTGCTCTTTGTTTTACCTTGTCAACTAGGACAAAAATCAGAAAAAAGGTCCAAACCTCAACATTAAAGGGCAAGTAGGATTCGTCCATATCCTGGATGTTCCTAATCTAAAGACTGCAGGCACATAGCTCCTGCCTTGGCCTATGCCATCACTTAGAGTTCTTCCCATATTGTGATGCTGTAAATATCTTACTTGGAACCGCTCATCAGTCTCATTCTCTCCAATCTGCCTCAGAAGATCCCCGCTGGCTTGCCCAATACTTCCAGCGGCGGTCAGCACTGTCTGTCGAGGCTGTGAACAAAGAACAAACATTGGTTGAAAAGAAAATGCATTTTCCCCTTAGTCTCATCAGAACATAATGAGAACAGTCCCACTGATAAGAAAGAAATGATCCATGGAAATGAGGATGTAAATTTATATCCCCACTAAATGTGCATTTGTCATGTGTGTTAGTCTCTGGCGTTGCCTATGATCAAGTATTCTTGGTGCGGGAGCTTCATAGTAAGAGCTCAACCAATCACTACCTACTTGTGGTATTTTAACCTTCAAATGCCACCGTGTGGTAGTGTACCCCAGTGGGATGGAAGAGCAGCTCAGGAAACAAGAGGCTCACGGTACTCAAAGGATGCACTTTTTTAACAGACCCTGAGAGACTACTTGTGCCGAGAACTCACCTCTCCAGAAGTAGGCTGCACGGCCTTGAGCAGGTCGGACACAGCCCCAGCAAGGGTCCTCGCAGCTCTCAGCAAGTCCTCCCCACTGCCCACATCGTCATCCATGAGGGCTGCCAACAGCTTCACGCCCTTGGACATCTCCGTCAGGTTGGAAGAAATGGTAGTGATTGCACATCCCACCGCCGTATAGTCAGTGTCTGCAGGGTCACCTGGCACAGAGAAGGTTCCTTACATCAAGAGAGCACAGGGCAGGTGGAGGAGAGGAGGGCGCCGTAGTCCTGGGGACTGTGTCTCAAACCCTTCAGCCAGACTGCAGGTGTCAGGCACAAACCAATGATGAGAACAGGGAGATGGACGACTAACTCCTTGTCTCCCAAGTGGAGGTTGTGGTGGAGTCGGCCTTGGACTCACATCAACCCCAGACACAACAGACTCTTACCAGCATGATCTACTGGGTCTCTAAGTTACTGTCTTTCAATACGTCTTCTCATCTGAATGCCTCATGCAAGGAAATACTGAGCATGAGCACTCGTATGTGTCCCTTCAAACTGTCTGTTACAATTCCAACCCCTATGCCCAGCGGTGAAATCTAACTGGTCACTTGAAGTCACACCAGCATCGGGTGGATCCTAAAACAAATCACTCCTGAGTTGTATAAATAACATCATGGACATAAAGAGATGTAAATACACCTTGGTGAAGACAGATGCCCTTTGAGAGTCACCGTCACCAACAACTAAGGAATGCTCAGGGATAACTGACAAGGAATCCACCCTGACTTTGACTTTCAACCTCTGGAACAGTGAGAAAAAGAAATGCCTTCTCTTTTGAGGCACCTATTTGTGGTATTTCTGTTATAGCGGTGCTAGCAAATTAAGATGAGCACCTTTACAATTCCAAAGGAAGCCTCAGCATCTCCCGACCCTTTTAGGTCCCTGTCAGCAGCTCTGGGAGGTCGGGGAGAAAATGTTGCACAAAATTTCCCTGCTCGAACATGACAGCAGAGACTGACAGTCATGCGAAAGCCAGAAGACATCAGTACTGGGTAAGATGAAGCTATTCAGATATGACAAATCTACTCACTGAAAAATAAACATTAGGCTCTCAGAAGGGATAACGCAGACTCCTCACACTTTGAAGAATGTCCAGCACACTGACGGACAATAAGATGAGCTAAATGAGGGCTTTGTAATGATGTGTAACACAGACAAGAAAGAATGCAACTTCTCTTCTACATTTCTCTCAGGTCCTAGTTCCCCAAAATAGAGCATACTCTCCTAAGAGGAAATCTGTTGCTTCAATCAATGACAGAGATGCTTTTGGCGGAGGGGGTAGGGAAGGACACAAACCCCCAGTGCACCCCAGAGCCCCACGCTAGGGACTTACCAGCTGTGAGGTTAACAACTGAGGCGGTTCCAGCTGTGATGGCATCGACTTGCGAGTGAATTTCATGTTTGGATTCGTCGACTTTGTTCTGAACCCATACCCTCGATGCCTGCAAAACCAGACAACCGCATGACACAGTCCTGCCCAGATTACCCAAGAAGCCGGAGAAGTCAGGTCATTATGATGAGGAAGGGTTTTCAGCAGCACTGGCTGACAAAAGCTGTTAAGTCACTTTAAATGATGTCTTCAGGGGGCCCCTTCTTGCTGGCTCACTGGTGCTCAGTGGCATGGAAAGACCCCCTCCTCCACCCTATTTCTGAAACTTTATGGAGGAGAAATTCCACATGGCCTTCTGTAGGTAATTTAAGTGAAAAAAAGAATGAGGAGGAGGAGGATGAAGGTCAGGTAACTCTCTAGACATCAATACCTTCCATTTTTGCTGATTTTTTACCTTTTTCCGGGAGCAGGGTTAGAACAAAGGCGTACCAACTCAGAGGTTTCCTCAGTCAACACCGGTGGCGCCCCCTGTTGACAGCAGGAGTCACCTCCAGGTGACTGAGGGCCATGTTCACATGGCTGTGGCACCTTCCCTGGTGGGACTGTGAGGTGCAGGTGCCAAGTCCCTGTCCTGATGTAGTTCTAACACTGACAAGCTGTAAGACTTTGGGTAAATTCAAGTCTTACACCTTAACTTTCAGTGTAGGAAAGAGCTCAATGATCTTCACTAGCTAGCTCTTAATATACAATATTCTTTCAAACCAAGAAGTACTAAATTCCCTGTTTCCAAGCGTGTCAGGACTTTGCCAATTAAATGATCATTTACATTGATAATAAAAACTCTCTGGTGATGTAAGGTGCTGATCCCCACGTCCCCCCGACCCCATGCAAACCTGGGCCCAGGATGGTGGGGGTTTTTACCAATTAAATAATCACTTACATTACATGTGCTGATTCCCATGCCCCACTCTACCCAATACAAACCCAGGAGGTTTTTACCCTTTACCACATTCTAATTCTTTGAAATGGCAGGGTTGTTAATTAAATTCAAGTATCACAAAATGCCATTTCGCAGTTGTGTTGGGAATAGGGCTCAGCCATATAGACTTTCATGAGTTAGACTTCATGACTTGAGAGAAACAGTACAAAGGACAGCAGTAACCTACATGCATACAAGTACAAACATGCAAACAACAGCCTGGAAAGATACTGCAGGGGGCACTTTTCCTGGCCGGAGAAGAGAGGGCTACTAATTCTATGCTGGCTGCCCCCTAGAGATGGCATCAATCTTGCCTGCAACAGTGGTTTACAATACTAACCACTCAATGGAATCACCTGAGGAGTTAAAACAATAAACTAATCCAGGCCTGACCAGCCACACATTTACTGGGTTTGAGGGCCCCTGAGCATGTTGTCAAAACGCCTCAGGAGATGAATGTGCTTGAGCTTCTGTACTTGCATGGATGCAGGTTACTGCTGTCCTCAGTACTGTTCCTCTCAAGTCATGGTTAAGAAAGACCTGTTAGTCAATGCCACTCAAGCACTAACATTACAAAGCATAGCTGGTTGTTATGTTTGTTGTTGTTAGGTGCTGTCGAGTGTGACCTATGAACAACAGATATGAACCCTGTCCTGTGCCATCCTCAAACTTTCTGACACTCAAGAGCCTACTGCATCAGTCGCTGCATCAATCCACCTGATCAAGAGCCTTCCTCTCCTTCATCAAGCTTTCCGAGATTCACGCCCCTGTCCAAGAAAAAGCCCATCCTAGCAACATGCCTGAAGTATGTGAGGCAAAGCTTTAACATAACTAGAGATCTTGCTAAAGGGCAGAGTCAGGATAAGTTGGACTGAGGTAAGGTCCTGTGACACCAGAGCTCTCACAAGATGACTTCATGCAGCAGCAGCTTCCACTACCAGGAGGCCTCTTTACTAAATACCTTGCAGTAATCTCACCAGTAGTAATCCCAAACCCCAAGCAAACCCACTGCTATGAGTCAATTCCAACTCATAGTGAAATTACACTGGGTCTCCGAGGCTGAAAATCTCTACAGGAGGAGACTTCCTTTCTGGTAGGTTTGAACTGCCAACCTTTTTGGTGAGCAGTCCGTCACTATGCGACACAAATTCTTTGTTACTGTTTGTTAAGGACTGTCGAGTTAGAAACCTCCAGCGGGTTTTCAGAGTCAGTTAATCGCAAGGGAGGAGAATGCCCATCCTTCTCCCACGGAGCAAGTGGTGGATTAGAATTGTGGGCTTTCAGGACTGCAGCACAGCTTCTTAGTCCACCAGATGTCCCTAAAGGGCTATTTGTTGTTGTGTACCATGGAGCTGAAATCGACCCATAGCTGACCCTCCCACAGGTTCTCAGAGGCAGTTAATTGCCCATTCTTCTCTTGTGGAGCAGCCCGTGGCCTCGAACCTTGTGTTTTTGGGATTGCAGTGCATCTTCTTACCACTAGGCTACCAAGAGCTCTTTAGTGGTTCTCAAAGTTTAGTCCTCAAAACTACCACCACCTGGGAACGTGATAAAAATGTAAATCCTCAGGTTCCACTCCACACCTACTGGATTAGAAGAAAACAGGAATCGGGACCACAATCTCTGCAGGGGATTCTGATGTTCACTAACACTTAAGAGCCATGGTTATTACTTTATTGTTGTTATTATTATATTATTACTACTAATAATACAAAAGCAGCTAATGCTTATTGAGCTCTTATGATGTGCCAGGCACAGTGCTAGGAGACTAGATCATTGAGCCTTAAAAACAATGCTATATCAGATTAGAAAACGGAGCCCTGGAGAGGTTAAGGTGGTCAGATGCATCCAGCTAGTACACAATGGAGCAAAGGTTTCACTACTAATTATGTGACTGCTGTTGTTGGTAACATCGAGTCCGAAATGACCCCACAGCTAGCTAACCAACCAGCAGAGACAGTAGATCACACAGGAAAAGACTGTCTATCCTTCTTCCTCGGGGCAGGTGGTAGATTTGAACCATGTGCCTTTGCAATTGTGCCACAGTATCTTACCACTAGGCAACCAGAGCGCTCTAATTTTGTGTCTACAGAGTCTTTACTTAGTATTGCCATATGCCATTAGCAGCCTCTTAGGCTTTACTCCTTCTTTAAGTGCAATCTATTCACAAAGACTTAACATCTTAAAAAAAAAAGACTGATTTGGGACTGTAGTTGGACACAAGAATTCACCCAGTTGAATTCAGACAGAATGCTGAAGCCTGTGTTCTACCGGGTAGAAGGCCTGCATGAAATATCTCACGGGCAGTCTTTACCATGTCCTGGCCGAGAGGTGGCAGCGAGTCGAGCTTGCTGAGGTCATCCTGCGCCTGCTGGACAGCGTGCATGCTGGTGTTGATGGTCCCCATGAGGGCCTGCTGGGCTGAGGTCTGCGGGGACAGAGGAACACAGGTGGGTCACACCGCACTCCCAGCTCTGACACAGTCCTCTCCGCAAAACAAGGCAAAACGGAACTCTGGTTCAGGGTACAGTTCAACAACCACCGAAATGACATCTTGGTTAAACTTGGTGAGCAAAATCAGCTCTTTCATGATATTAATAGACTACAAAATGAGGGGGTTGCAATAGAGGCAGAGAGTCAGAAGACTGTAGAGAGCTGAATTAGGCCCCGAAAATGTTCAGTGGGCGTCCCCGCAGGGCAGAAAGGGATGGAATCCTTGTGTTCTGAGGACGAAAGCTCTCACATGCATAGAAAGCAGCTGAATGATAAGCCAGAAACATTTCTTGAGAAAGACTTAAGGATCCAGCTCCAACCTAGAGGCAACATACTTCTTCAGACTCAAATTACTTTAGGGATCTGAGGCTTTCCAGCTTTCTGAAAGTTACTGCCCAGCGGCACCAGATTCCCCAGGCGGGGCTGAGGGCACAGGCAGCCCAGCAGAAAGGAACTGAGGCTCTGCACGTGTGAGCGGTTTGAATCACTAAAGACTTGGTCTATTTTCAAAGGCTCTCTGAGGAAGGTCCGGGTCAATCAGCTTGATGCGACAAAGACAGGGGCCCAGGGCTATCACTACATCAACAAGGCACTTAGAGAGATGACTAATTCTCTCCCAATCACTGATGACACCACTTTTCCTAGACTGGCAATTATCACAACCATCTGATTAAAAGAATGCATCTGGCATTCGACTTGAGGGATCCCAGCAAAGAACAATATTCTGAGACCTCTGAATAAGGAGCAGCAAACTATGTCATATGGGTAAAAACTGGCCCCTTTTCAAGCTCAATAGATAAATGCAAAATTTATTAAATAAATACAAAAAAAGGGACTGTATCAAGGAGATAGACATTAGGAATGCATGTTGGATGGGCCAATGTTCAGATGAGAACCAGAGTGTGGGAGACACACAACTCATCCCCCCCTGCTAGTTCTCCTCTCTGTACCCCAGACACAGCTGCTGCCAAATGGGAGATGCATATAAAGGCTCACCAGAGGGGGCATATGGCCTCGGTGCATCTGCCCAACCATGACCTGCTGCTGTGGAGAGGGCATGCTGCCCACGTTGAAGGTCTCGGGCCCGCTGGAGCCGGAGCGCATCACGGCGGGCAGCGCCACTGAGCCATGCTCCACCTTCCCAGTGCGGTTGAACTGCTGCTGCAGGATGGTGGACCTGTGGGGGAAGGGACGTGGTCACTGTGAAGAAGCCACCCACCTGGGCCGCCTCACAACCTCTGTGTGGAGACCAACGGAAAAGAGGCATAAATACCTGGAGAAGTACGGATGGAGAAGCAGCTCCAAACTGCTAAGAAGAAGAACCCTGAACTGAACCTTTCATCATCAATATTAAGTTACTCCCCTGTCTGAGGGAGAGGTTACTATTTTTGTAATAGAAAATATAAAATAATTATTCCCAACTTATCCATGCCATAGATTCATCAGGTTACACAACAAGTTTTTCTTTAAAATAGACACACACACACACACACACACACACACACACACACACACACACAGTGTTGTTCTTTGAGTGTAAATGAAGGCTTTAAATAAATTCATTTGTTGTTGTTCGGTACTGCTGAGTTGAGTATAATTCATAGCAACCCAATGAACAAGAGATCTGAACCCTGCCCTATCCTGTGCCATTCTATCGTCTGTGACACACTAGAGCCCATTGCTGAAGTCACTGTGTTACTCTGTTTCACTGGGGGCCTTCCTCTCCTTCAGTGACCCTGTACCTTTCCAAGTCATGACATTCTTTCCCAAGGAATAGCAACATGCCCAAAGTTGAGAGATGCTGCTTAGCCATCTTTACCTCTAGGGAGCCCCCCAGTGCACTTTCTTCAAGACCTATCTGTCTGTTCTCTTGTCAGCTTGTAGACTATTCAGTTTAGGTTCTTTAAAACAACAACAACAAAACTGCTATGGAGTCAATTTTGACTCCTGACTACCCACACTGGGTTTCTCAGGCCGTAATCTTTTCAGGAGAAGACTCTCATCTTTTTCCTATGGAGCCACTGGTGGATTTGAACTGCTGATCTTTTCACGTGGCAGCCCAACATTATGTACTACTACACGAGGGCCATTTAAATCTGGTAAATCTTACCTGAAATACCATTCACTCAACATATGTCCACTATGTGCCAGTTCCATTTTAGGCACTGAGGGCTGTACAGAACATTTATCCTGACTTAAAGAAGAAATATTAAAATGAATTTAAAATGCCCCAGAGCATTAGCTCCCCTCCTGCAGGACTAAAGTGACTGACCACAGGGAATGTCTAACTATCTCTAGAGCCCTGAGAATATGACAGACTTTAGTACCTCTTCCAGATGATTTCAATTAAAATCTGGAAGGATTCCTAGAGTGTCTAGCCCCAAATTATGAACTTTTAACATGTGAGACTGTCTTGGAGTAAATGGTAAATAAACACAAAGGAGAATTGCTCTCTGATGGTCAGAAAGAAGTCTGAACTTGACATACGTACTTCAGTAGTGGCTGATGGACCCACAGGGAGAGTCTGGGGCAGACAATGAATACTTTTTATGGAAGAGCTGGCATGCAGCTGCATTAAAGGGTCTGCTCCAAGGTTTGTGAGCCACCACACATTGCTCCTAGTTGCTCAGGGCAAACTCATGAGCCATGGAGACTGCAAGAACACCAAATGATGGGTAGTGATGGGGAAACATAATGTCTACTGAGAAGGTGGCATGGTGGAGGGTGGATTGGGGGGTTCTGGAAGGAGGTCAATTATATTCCAAGATCTCAATCAATAACCATTATAGGAAGATATGGATGATCCACTGATGGGAACCACGCTGGTCCATCTTCCTCTTTGTCTTGATAAGATCACAAAAGGATGTCCGAGGCCCTGGGAGGGGGCTTCAGTAGGCCCAGGCAGGGAAAGTTCTAAGCACTCTACAACCAAATTCTTAGCTGCCTTTATGGGAAAGGTCTTCTAAAATTAACTACTCACTCTGCCCATCATCAAGCACTAGCTTATTAATTTCCATGTAAAGGACATTTATCTCTTCAAGGACTTGAAGTCCTCTGCTGCAGAGAAGCAAGTATGCCAAGAAATTTAATTCCAGCAATAAGGACAGATGGAAAAGCACTCTTCATACGATTATGAAGTAAAGGGTGGAGAAGTGAGGGAAGCAATATCTATGGCTCATGGAGTACAATGTATTAGAATATACTAGAAGTTTCTTGCAGTGAACCATGGGAACCAACACAAGATCTGAGTCTGAGTCTGGACTCCATCATACATATGTATCTCAGTCCCCTTCTATGAGCTGTAGTTTCCTCATTCATGAAGTGGAGATAATAACATTCAGGTCAACTTTTTAAACAGAAGGGTTTCATTGGGATCAATGAGTCAACATGTTAGACGCACATGCTAACATGTAGACACACACTCCGGACAAACAGGCCATGGCAACACCAGTGTCTCAAGCATTATTTTCTAACTGCTGTTTGTTTTTAACAAATTTTAGTTTTGTTGTCCGCTGTTGTTGTTGTTTTTAGGTGCTATCAAGTCAAGTGCAACTCACAGCGACCCTATGAACAGTCAGCCTGAACCCTGTCCTATCCTGTGCCATCCTCATCATCTCTGGAATACTCAAGCCCACTGTGGAAGTCACCATGTCAGTCCACCTCATTGGGGCCTTCCTCTCCTTTGCTGATGGCCATTTTTGCAAACATGATTTCCTCCAATGAGCAGCCTCACCTAGCTACATGTCCAAAGTAAGAAAGCTGAAGCTTCACCATGTTTACCTCCAAGAAGCACTCCCTAGAATGTGGCAAAATGTAGATGGTTCTGAATTTAAAAGAATGGTAATGAGGAGGATAATGATACAATAAATATTTACTAAGTACCATGCATTTTTATGTGCTTTATTAGTAACTCAATAATCAAAACAAAATCTAAAATCATCAAAACAAAAATCATTATCCCCATTTATATATGAGAACATGGGGACAGAGAGTTTAAGTAACTTCCCCAACCAAAAAAAACCCCAACTCATTTCTGTCAAGTCGGGAAGCAGGTACTGCAATTAAAACAAAGCAAAGCAAAACAAAACACAAAAACCTTTCCATTGTTGTCAAGTCAGAACCAACTCATAGCTGATCATCCTCCAGTGTATTTTCAGAGGCTCCAAGTCTCATGGGAGGAGACTGTCCACCCATGTCTTCCCTGGAGCCACTGGTGGAGCTGAACCTCCAGAGGTGGACTCAAATTACCACCTTTAGGTAGGGAGTGTAGCTCTCTACCAACTAGGCCATCAATTCTCCCTTAACTTCCCCAAGGCAAACAGTAATAGCAGACCTCAGCCAAGAATCTAGTTCATGAAATTTAAATCAGAAATTCAGAACAAGACTTACAGACAGATGCTTGCTGTCTTCAAAGATGGAGCTAAATACAATTTTTTTTTCATGGTCTTTCTGAAATTCTCAGCCACTCACAAATGGTGATCACTCAGAGTGGTGATGCTGCGCATCTGGAGATCACACTCTGAGTGTCAAGATTCACCTATCCCACCCACTACAGTGTTCTCCAGGTGACAGCCTCATGCACCAGCGTCAAGAGCTGGCAGGAGACCAGGCCACGTAGCTCTGAAACTCTCACAACATACTTACTTTTTTGGGGAAACAGATTCTTCTAACATCGTTGACTCCTCATCGCCCTCTAATCCAAATCTATCTTTACTTTGTTTCTAGAGATAAAATAAGACAGAAATGTGAAAATTGGCAGGTCCCAAACATAAGGACCTTTCATAAGAAGACTTCTGAAGGGGGACACACTAAGCAAAAATGTTGCTGTTTATCCTGCATTTCTTTAATCGAATATTTTTTAAGTTGTGGATCAAGAAAAGATAAGTTACAAAGAAGTCTATAACTTAACATTGTTAATGTTTTCTGTATTTGTTACTGCACAGATTTATTTTTTTCCATAATATTTTAGTGAACCTTTGGGGAAAGTGTACACAGCAAATTAGGTTCACATTTAACAATTACTACGCAAATTTTTCACAGATACCGATCATATTTTACATTAACATTCTCATTCATTCAATTCTGGATATTTCATTGGCAGTTATCTGGTTTCTCTGATGTACTCTTTCATCTTTCCTGCAGAACAAAGGTTGACCATTTCTGTGGTCTTATATGAGTGATATTTTTATGAAGTGTAAAATGTTCACTAGTAATACTCTTTCTTTTATGAACCTGTTATTTAGCTAAAAGATGACATCAAGGTGTAGTTTCAGCTCAAGATTTATAGAATATGGCAAGGTGATAGCCATGAGAATATATCACTGATTTTTTAAAAAAAAATATTTTGTTCTTGTTGTTGAGTATAAACACAACAAAATGTATGCAAATGGAATAATTTCTACATGTAGAATTCAGTGGTACTAATTATGTTCTTTGAGCCGTGCAATCACTTCACCGGCCCTTTCTGAGATGCTCCCCTCTAATTAATATAACCTTGCTGCCCTCTCAGGTTTTCATCTAATCTTTCGAGTTGCTCTTCTTACTCTGATCTCACAAAGATAATTCTTAAAATTCTTAATAATGTTCAAGAAAGACATTGTTACCATTTAAGCAAAACTACTGCTCAGCTCTTAGGATGGAAGGGGATATTTTTGGTTTAAGCTTTAAAGATTATCTTAGGACAAGACTGTGGTGGGTTCATTAAGGCCCCCTGGCTCCAGAATACAGGGGTTCAAACTAGTTTGAACTGGTTCAGTCATGGCTGATGAAGTAAAACCAGAACATACCTGAAATTTTTAAAATTTGGGTGATCTGGAATAACCAGAATGGGAAACTTTACAGGTTGAAACAATGGCATTTGAGTCATTTTCAGGAACCTGATACATGAGCTTAGATTATTCATAGGACTGTGGAGAGTGCATACGTTAGAAGTGGTATAGCTGGCTGCCATCTTTGAATGGACACTACTGTTTTTGATTCTGTTCAAAATCTGATGGATAAGAGATATGGAGCTATACACTGTATACACAGCTCTTGTTTTCTAAGAGGGATATTAAGTTTTTAGCTAATTTTTTCACACTCCTGTTATCCCTCCAGCTTACCCACATTTTAAATATTTAAGTCTGTACCAGTTTTGCTTCCTTGACAATGACTGAATCAGGAAAAAAAGGATTTAAAGCTCTGAAAAATCTAAAGTCCAAAATAATTTGAAATTCTGTTTTGTAGTCTCTCTTCTGGTCAGAATTCTCTCATAGAATCTTTGGTCAGAATGTTCAATAATGATAGCTGAGCACTATCCAATCCTTCTGATCACATGGTAAAGGAGGCACTTTTCATGGGATCAATTAGGCAAAGATTCATTTTCTTCCTCTTATTCCTCTGTTGGTCTTGTGTGTACCATCGAGTTGGAAATTAATCACAGCTGATCTTCCAGTAGATTTTCAAAGGCTGTAAATCACATGGGAGCACATGGCTTATTTTTCTCCCTTGAAGCAGCTAGTAGATTAGAACTGAATGTCTTTGGATTGTCCCTTACCACTTCTTACATTAAACCCCCAGAGCTCCCGGTTTAATTGTTGTTATTATATGCCGTTGAGTCACCTGCAATGTACAACAACCCTAAACCCTGCTCTATTCCGTGCCAATCTTATTGTCTCTGACACACTTCCCCTATTACCCCAGTCTCTGAATCAATCCACCTCATTGAGGGTCGTCTTCTCCTGCACTGTCCCTCTACCCTCCCAAGTATGACGTCTCTCTCCAGGGACTGGTCCTTCCCTGCAACATGTCCAAAGTATGTCAGACAAAGCTTCAGAATCTTTGCCGCCTAGGAGTAGCCTGTCTTCACCTCTCCAAGACAAACTTGTTTGTTCTCCTACAAGTCCATGGTATATTCAATACTCTTCTCCATCACCAAAGCTCAAAGGCATCAAATCTCCTTCTATCATCCCTAGTCACTGTCCAGCTTTCTGTTGCATAGCAAGTAATTGCAAAGACCATGGCCTGTATCAGGTGCACCTTAGTCTCCAGACTGACACCATTGTTCTTCAGTTCTTTGGAGAGATCTCTTGACAGCAGACTTTCCCAGTGCAATTTGTCTTTTAATTTCCCGGCTGCTGTTATTTTATTAGGTGTGATTTTTAAGCTGCTTTTGAAAGCTACAGCATGTGACAGAATAGAGGTACCCTACAGAGTTTTCATCTTTCTAAGTTTTATGAGTAGAGCCCTAGATCTTCCCCAGCTCCCCACAGCCAATCTTTTGGTTAGAAGGTAAGGGGCGCTTAATCTTATACACTACCAGGGCTCTCAAATCTAATTGTACATAATGAAGATTGAGATGTACATATTAGTAATCCAGTCACTCACTCACTGCCATGGAGTAGAGACTTCAACTCACAGCAACCCTCATCAAATTTCTTAGACAGTAAATCTTTACAGGAGAAGATTGTCCATCTCTCTCCTTTGAAGCTATTGGTAGATGTGAAGCACCATAGATATACTGCCTTTTGGTGAGCTGCATACACAACAGGCTATAGACCATGCCGCACAGCTTCTCAACCACCACAGCATCGAAGCTCAAACCCAACATCCTGCCACTGCATGCATTCCAACTCACAGAAGCCTAAGGGGAAGAGCAGACTCCTCACAGAGTTTTCAAAGCTGTAACTATACACAGAAGCAGATGGCCAGCCACATCCTCATCATGTGGAATGACTGGTGGATTCAAACCCACTGACCTTCCCATTAACAGTTCAGTACTTTGACCACTGTACCACCTAATGGTAGGAGCCTATGGGCTCCTAATTCCATAAACTGGTTGGAAAAATAGCATTTTCAACCCCTAAATTTGTGTTTCTACAGAGGCTGACAAGGGTAATACATCGATGTGGAGAGGAAAATGCTAGCTCATGTGATGGCTAAGTGCTGCACTCTGCTAAGTGCTGCACTCTGTCCCATTATCTGCCAGTAACTGAGATAAATGCCAGCTGCAGCAGTAACATCAGAAAGCTGTGTAGGATCTCAGAGAGTCACACTCAAGTAATCTTAGTACCAAAACCAAAAATAGCAAACTAAGTCTTTAAAATAAAGCAGTTATTATCATTGCTTTTGTGGGTTGTTTTTGGGTGATCTTTTGCCTTTGGGTTTTTTGGGGTTTTTTTTGTATCTATATAGTCTAGTGGTCTAGGCTGAGCCTCTTAACAAGGTATCTACAAGTAAAAAATACCTTTTTAAGGATGATGTCAATGTAGCCTGCAATCAGCTGGGATATCTGCTCTCCCTCTGTGGTTTGTACTGAATAGTAGCTTTCCTGATACTCCCCAAAATCCTGGGAAAAAAGACACCATTATGAGAAAGACACATTAGTCACATTAAAGGCTAGAAAGACTAGTTTAGTACAGTAAATAAGATAGCATACACACAATTTCACTTGTTCTTCCTGACTATGTACCAAGTACACTCTTAACAGAACCTTGCTAATGGTCTGAGGCCCACCCAACGCTCTCCTTTCAGCTTTACTTATTTGAAAAGTTCTTAAGAATTGTAATATCTGGATAATGAGGGTTTTCCCAGCTAGACTAGGAAGACATGACATATGACTCTAGAATTCTTTCTCTCATGGAAGTAATTGATCATGGGTGGACTATCTATAGTAGCAAATTCAAAGAAACATAAAAAATATTAGAGGTTACCAGGGGTTGGAGGGAGGGAAATGCAATGTTAATATCTAATAGTTAAGAGTTTCTACTTGCAGCAAATGGACAAGTTGAGGAGATGATAGTGATGGTGGCATACCACCATAGACGTTACAACACCATGGGTATTACTGTTGTGAGCCAATCAGGGGATTCCAATTCATAGCAACTCCACATGATGGAATACAATTGTCCCACAAGGCTTCCCAGGTGGTTATCTTTATGGGAGTGGACTGCCAGGACTTTTCTTCCGTGAAACTCCTGCTGGTGGATTCCAACCAGCAACATCACAGTCACTTAATCAGGGCTCTTTGTAAATGTAACTCAGGCCACTGAATGTTGTTGTTAACTGCCATTGAGTCAAGCACATTGCGACCTCAGGAACAAAAGGCCTGACACCTTTCTATAACTATAATCCTTTATCAAAGTTCACAGAGTTTCCAGAGGCATGTTGTTTAGGAAGTGGATGTCACTCCTGCTTCCAAATGGTACACACTTAAATGGACAAAATGATGAATATATATATTTCACAAGACATAAGAAAAAATTTAAAATGAGAGAAAACAAAGAGAAAGAAAATTAACAGAAGGAATGAATGGAAATCCAAAATCTCTGTAAATTTTCATTATAATTAATAATAATAAGTTAAAAAAAATAAAGGCGGCTATGTCTTTTAGAAAGGAAAGAGGAAAACCAGAACATTATCAGAGGAGTCATCTTGGTACTGGGCTCTTTGCTAGGAAATAAATGGAAGCTGATGTGCTTAGTGCATCAGGGAGAAAGTGGTGGTGGATATACCTAGGTTTGGTGACATCTCTCACTTATCAGTCCCCAAGGGCTGGGAGAGCCCACTAGATGGGGAGCAACCCTTTTCCTCCCCCACACAACCACCCAAACAGTGCCCTCTGCCAGCACCTACCAGGGTGAAGCTCTTGGGCGAGGCTGCCCAGCGCTTGACAGTGGTGAGGGGCCACTCCTGCAGCACCTCCTTGGTCTTCTCATCCACGCGCATCACTGAGTCCTTGGTGATGCCCAGCAGCCGTGGCACCAGCTTGTTCTTGCCTTTCATCTTTTCCTAAAACAGAAGACACAGAGCGTCACGGCTATTCCTCTGGATACATCTGGGTTCTGCCAAGTGGTCAGGGCACCTGCAGTCAACTGGCCTACACTGTGCTTTATAACACATGCAGGGACATCTGAAGGGAGACTTTGAGACTGGGAGGGTATTTCACCAAGTTAAAGGAATGGAAAATTATTAGAAAAAGTTGAGTCTGTGGTATCAGACCACAAAGGTGTTCATCCTGAGAGGCAGAAAATGTGCCAGTCTAGGAATGCTGCTAACATAAAACTGCAGTTTGGTCTATCCATCTTTATGTAAATACTCAGAACTGAGTAAGGTGTGAAAAGGGATGACTACTGGTAAGAATTTAAATTTGCAAAGTCTCTATGGAAGAAAATGTGTTAATATTTATGTGAAGCCTTAAATAGGTTCATACTTTTGACACATCTCAGCTTTAGAAGCTTCTTTTTTTTAAAAACTCATCAATGTGTGAAAAGATCATGGTTGAAGAAGGTTCAACTCGAGTCTACCATAGCACAATATAGAAACAACAATCCAATCTTGAATATTGAATTGATAAAGGAAATTTCAGGAGTTCCAAAAGGAACGTCCAAATAACAAAACACTCTTTAATTATTAAAAAATCCTATTATACAATGAATGAATGGAAATCCAAAATCTCTGTAAATGTTCATTAAAATTATTAAAAAAAAAAAAAAAAGATGAGCAAGGAGGTGGGGACGTCTGGATAGTGGACACACCCAGGTCTAAGAGTATATAAAATTCAGAGTCCAGACTATGATATTGAAACTCAGAAACACAGAGAATCTTCTCACTGTGACACAGCTGAACTCCTATCTCCTGTCACCATGTCTTACAACTAACTGCTGCTCCGGAAAGTTCTCCTCCTACTCCCTGGGGAGTTCCCTGCGCTATCCAGTCTCCTCCTGTGGCTCTTCCTATCCCAGCAACTTGGTGTACAGTACAGGTCTCTGCTCTCCCAGCAACTACCAGCTGAGTTCTTCTTTCTACAGACTTGGTCCAGGAGACCTGTTGTGAACCAGAAGCTGCCATACATCTCATGTGGTATCCAGTCCCTGCCAGACATCCTGCTATCGTCCCAGCACCTCAACATCCTGTAGTCCTTGCCAGACAACTTATACTGGTTCTCTGGGCTTTGGCTCCAGCAGCAGCTGCTCCCTGGCCTTTGGCTCTAGAAGCTGCTACTCTCATGGCTGTGGATCCAATAGCTTCAGACGCCTGAGTTATGGAATCTGTGATTTCTCTTCCCTGGGCTGTGGATCCAGATTCTCTTACCCAAATTATCTACCATCTTGGACCTTCCAGTCTTCTTGTTACAGATCAGCCTGTGGATCTGGCTTCTACTAATCAACTTATAATATCTTCTGTCCTTTAGAGCATAATTTTCTAGTCTCTACTCAGAACTTTTCTCATAAGTTTCTCAACCTTATGTTAACTAATCCTTCTCAACATCAGTACCTCATTACTTCTTTTAACATTAAGAATTTGTTGAAGACTACCTTGGACAGACTATGTAATTAATGAATGACCAAAATGCAAAGTTTAATGTCTATAATATTAAAACAAATGATTCAGAATCATGTTATAAATCTCTCTTAAAAAAAAGGAAAGAAATTCAACTGTGATTGATCTAATAAACTCATCAACTCTGGGGGGAAAAAAATCCTATTATAAGAGAGCTTTGGTGGCCTAGTGGCAAAAAGCTGCACTGCAATCCCAAAGGTGCGTGGTTCAAATCCACCAGATGCTCTGCTGGAGAAGGAGCAGCAATTTCCTCCTGTGCCAGTCAGATCAGATTCGACAATACACAGCAAAATAAAACAAACAAACAAAAAAACCCTACCAACCATTTTCATGGGAAAAATTATTCAAAAATATATTATTAAATTTTAAAATAACAAAACAGCATATAAAGCATGAGACCATGTGAACTAAAATTTTAGTCAGCATATATAGTATATTTAAACATGATAGTAATGCTAATACTTTGTGACTTGTATTTCCTTATGCTCTTCCTTATTTGCAAAATCTCACTTAGTATATATATGAACCACCCAGGCATTGAGGACTCTCCTTCACGGCACTTAACAATAACATCAACACAGAGAGAGAGAGATCAGCTGGCCCAGTGGACAGAAAGCAATGCTACCAAGCCAAAGGTGGGTGACTTTTAATCCGCAGCCCTCGGGCCCGTCTTTCATTGTTTTTGTGCAGACATTCCTCTAGGTCGTATAGCCCTGGTGTACAAGTTGCCGTACAGCGGTCACTTGTGGTTGCTGTGAGGCTGAACACTGTGACACTGATATTAATGGCTGGTTACCCAATGTGGACACAGAGTGGGGTGGAGCTCCCTGATTAAAACAAGCTTGGAAGGAGGAGCGGCATCCACTTTCGTAATAGCTTGCCTCTGGAAACCCCATGAACCTGGAGAGAGGATGAGAGACACCCAAGTGTTGAGGACTCTCCTTCAGAGGGTCGCTATGAGTCACCTGTGACTCGACGGCACTTAACAACAACAACAACAACAATATATATATGAACATTTTTATTGCTGTTAAGAAATTTTTTATAATATCAATACAAATAATACTAATATTTTCTGAAACCTAGAACATATGTAAATAATTATTCTCAGAGGAGAATACATACACATTCATAAACAGCAAGTATATATCTGTGTATGGGTGTGAGTGTATCACACGATACAGGGTATGGGCACACTTACAATAGGACAAGAACATGCAAATATCATCTCATTAATCTTCACAGTTCCACAAAAGTGGATACCATCATCATCATCCCCACTTTGCCAACAAGATCAGCGTCAGAGAGGCAAATCTGTCCCAGATGGACATGCTGTTCCTGTCAGGTGCCGCCAAGTCTAGTGTGACTCACAGCAACCCTGTCAACAGCAGATCTGAGACCTGCCCTACACTGTGCCAACCTCACAATCTCAAACACATTCAAAGCCATTGCCTTACTCACGGTTTCAACCCACCTAACTGGGGGGCTTCCCCTTTTCTGCTGCCCCTCCACCTTCCTGAACATGATGTCCCTCTCCAAGGAGTAACTTCTCCTACTACGAGGAGCTCAAACAAGCTCTGACTTTAAAAGTACTAAGTACCCCACAGTTGACTGTCTTCTGATGGAAGTAGCCAGAGAAGAGAAATGTGACCTTCCCTCTGCCCCACAGGCTTGTCACAAACCCTTACTTGTGATGGTCACAGAATACCTCCAGCTTCCCCCAGGAGCTAAAAATACCAGGAACATATGTGAGAGTCAGAGGAGGGGAACATAAAAGTATGAGGACCTCCGCATCTCTGAAAAATCACTGATAAGGATGAGAGTCTCAACGGAGGAGGATGGAGCTGGCTCATCTAATTTAACTTCAGTCTTATGTATTGGTTCAAACTCAACTTCTAGGACCCAGGAAGAGGATCATAGATAAAATTTGGTTTGCAGCTTTTGTGGTCATTCTTTTGCACCTGAACATCTCCCCATTGAGGGGCTTTGGGGTGAGGGAACACAGAATGATTATGTATTTTCTGAGCCGCAGCTACGGTCATTCAGGCATGGGATAGGAAGGCTTAGTGACCAAGCATCCCCTCAGATCACAATTTGGGGGATGGATGTAACGGACTACAAAATCCTGAAACTGAGCAGCAGAGACCACCATGAAGCAATAACAGAATTTTTAGCACCTACTCACAAAATGCAGAGCAGCTGGTGAAAGTTAAAACAGGGAATGGCTCAGGGCTGGGTTAGCCAAGTAGGGTCTTCCCTAGTGCCAGGACTGGTCCTGGATCCTCAGCATTTTAGCAGATGGCCATGAGATAATAAGGCTCCCTCTTCCCTCCTTCCTGTGGTGGGCACCCCACCCCACCCACAACCTTCTTTCCAACCTTAAATGCACCTATCAGTGTCCTTTAACCTCAGCAGAGACATGAAAAGAGTTTTGTATCCTGACATGGTGTTGGTTACATGATTGCACACATACAGCAATACTACGCAGAACACACACATGAACACATGCCAAACGGGGAAAATGGGAATAAGGCTGATGGACTCCATTGCTGTGAATTTCTTGGCTGTGATACTACTGGTGTGAAGTTTGAAAAGAGTATACAAGACCTTTATGCATTATTGATACAACTTCTTGTAAACATATAATCTTTTTTTAATAATGAAATTGAAAAAAACCTAATTCTGTGTGTCTTATTATAAAAGAAACAATAATAGTAACTTGTAACAATCATTTTGTTCCTTTATTTTCAAATGCTATGCTGCTTCTCCTCCCTTATTTTCCACAAGTTCCAAAACAAAGTTAAAGGTTAATATGAGGGTAAACACATTTGTTTTGATCTCAGCTTTTATTTAGCTCGCTAGCATTTCTGTTAACGATTTGAAAGTAGACTCAAAATACCATGTAGAAGCAGCATCCTTCCATTCCAGCATATTAAATATGTTTTAATAAAGGATGGAATTTTATCAAATAGCTTTCTGGCTGTAGATAAAATCATGCTATTATCTATTCGGCCTAAAGATCGGATTTATTAGGTTCACTTACTCATACTATTTAAATTCTCAGCTCTACTTTTAAAATAGAACCAAATATGGGTAACTAAATTATATTTTCCAGAACCATTATTAAAATAAATTGTTGATGTTGTTGTTAGGTGCTGTTGAGTCAACCACAATTCAAAGTGACCCTATAAACAACTGTTCTGTGCCCTGCCCTATCCTGTGCCATTCTCACAATCTCTGGTATACGAATCTGCAATCTGTTAAGCCTGTTGTTACAATCACCGTGTCAATTCATCTTGTTGAGGGTCTTCCTCTCCTATGCATGATGGTCTTTCCCAAGGACTGGGCCCTCCTAACATCATGCCAAAATATGTTAGGAGAAACGTCGCCATTTTTGCCTCCAAGTAACAACTTGGTTGTACTTTCTCCAAGAGATATTTGTTCTTTTGGTAGTTCATGGGATACTAAGTACTCTTCAGTACACTGCAACTAAAGGCATCAATAAATATGGTATATTTTCATGGTCTAATGGTTAGGAGCTGCGCTGCAATCCCAAAGTCACACAGTTCAAATCTACCAGCCGCTCCACAGGAAAAAAAGGGCCATCTTCTTGTGATTAAAACTGCCTCTGAAAACACACTGGAGGGTCAGTTCAGAGTTGATGGTACACAACAACAACAAGGGGTACCACTAGGGAACTCTAGTGGCCTAGTGGTAAGAAACTGTGCTGCAATCCCAATGGCACAAGTTTCAGATCAACCAGCAGCTCCACAGGAGAAATCTCCAATTAACTGCCTCTGAAAACCCACTGGAGGGTGAGCTACTGGTTGGGACTGACTCAGCAGCACATGGCAGTAACAAGGGAACTAATGACCAAAAATGTAAAGATAATGTTCTCCTAACATTTTTCTAAAATGAACAAGAAATGCTAATAAAAACCAAAAATTTTAGTATGTGTAAAAATTTTGAGTAACATCTCTCTTCTTAACCCCATCCTCTCTTTAAAGACATATTAAATGAGGAATAAGATAATTATTGTAAAAATAGAAGGATAATAGTTAAAAAATATAAACTGTATGGGGATCCAAGGAGGAAAGGGGTGGGAGCAGAGGGGTGAGGATAGGTAAGGGCAAAACCACAGGATTGTACAAAGTAATGGGTGAAGTGAGAAATTGAAAGGAAATCGGAAAGGTCTGGTGAGGACCTGAAAAGCCAGGGTAATGATGGGCATAGTCCAATGGTGATTAATGTTATAAACCACAATGCATGGAAATGACTGTACAAAGCACAATGTGAATGAAGAATAATGTGAAACACAATGTATAAGAACTTGGTAATCAAACCAATATAAAATTAAAATTTTAAAAAGAAAAGAATCTTTTTTAAAAAAAAAAAAAAGGAAAAGACAAAGAAGATTGGAAGGACATAGAAAAAGGTGAAGGAAGGAAAGTAATTCCTATCACTTTTTGTTCAGCTTTAATTACTTTTGTAACAGGAAAAACTTGATTTGATTTTTAAAATCTTGCTACAACTAGGAAATCCATGTAATTCACATCTAATTCCACAAGTCATGTGCAGATTTTTCTTGGGAAAAAAAATTTCCTTTTTCTACAATTCACTGTTTAGTTTCTCTTGCCACCTAATTATATGAAGTGTGCTGTTTCTTGCCCTAAATGCACTGACTAGAAAGAAAAAAAAAAAACAACCCACACCCCAACCATCCATGCCATGATCTTTTCAACTGCTTTCAATGGATCTGAAAGTGGATAATGAATGATTAAGAGCAAAGAACTGATGCCTTCACACTGTGGTGCTGGTTAAGCTGACTGGACATCCCACAGACTGACAGAAGAACAAATGTGTACTGGAGGGGTGCAATCAGAGTGTTCCTCAGGGCCAAGGAGGGTGAAAGCTTTGTCTTAAATATTCTGGGCATGTTGTCAGAAGGGACCAAGTCCTTAAAAAAAGGCATTATGCTGAAAAAGGCATGGGGTCAAAGGAAGAGAGGAAGACCTCCAGCAATATGGACAGACACAGTGACTGCAGTTAACAGGCTGCAGCATGTTGAAGATCGGAAAGATGGGGAAGAACAGGGAAAGGTGCCCATCTGTTGCTCATATGGTCCCTGTGAGCTGTAATCCACTCATAACAATATAACAAGAAATGCAAGATGCACAACAATTCTTTTATACATCACTGACACTGCTTCTGTGTGAACTCTGTGTAAATGAAAAATAATGAGAATACAAGAGATGAAGGATTACAGGAAAAACTCAACAAAGTAGAAAGAAATTATCATTGGACATGTTGAAAAGGAAGCTTTTTCTTTATGAGATACTGAAACTCATACACCGCTGATTGTCCATGGGAGTAACAAATAAAAAGCAGCTATTTCTACTAGCACTGGTCAACCACATCACAAAATATGTTCACACAATGTCTGACCTGGGGGTTAGAGGCATACCTAGGATGCTGAAAGCTGGTGACTACTTCTCAAACAGCATCACACTCACTAAGGCAGCTCAGTGTAGAGGTTACAAACATGGGCTTTGCAAGCGGAAACCCAAATTCAAAGTCTGGTTCCTTCAGCTACTAGGCTTTCGGCTCCAGATAAGTCATCTTATGTCATTGTCTATGCATATTATTGACTATAAAAAGAAGATAATAATTATAGTTCTTGATGGATTCAAAAGAGATAGACCCAGTCTACAGTCTCTTAGCAAATGTTATTAATGTTTTTATTAACATCAGGAAATGAATGGAGTCATTATTATATAGGAAGTATTCAGTGTCACTATAAAATTCTTAGTTAGTTTAAAATTCTCACCAAACTTTACAAATTCTATTTCTATATTTATTTATTTATGTTATTTTCCATAAAAACAATCTGACCAATGCATGTCCTCCTTCTTGGTAAGAGACCCTGCGTTTTCTGCTGTGAAACTGAGAGCTGACTTGAGTGGTCAGTAGTGGGTCAGTATATGCCTCTCTTTAATACGCATTTCTATTTCTCATGAAAGGAACTCTGGTGGCTGAGTGGTAAGGAGTTACACCGCCACCCAGAGGAATGTGGTTTGAATCCAAGGGAGAAGGAGGGGCAATATCTCCCATACGATTAACTGCCTACAAAAACTTGCTGGAGCGTCAGCTCTGGGTTGGTTCTGACTTGATAGTATACAACAACAATAACAGCAACTTCTCATGGTCACAATGAAGCAGTTTGCTCCAATGAGAAGTAGAATCAAGACAAGGATCTATCTTCCCAAACATCCTAGAGTCCAGCATTAGTTGGACTTTCGCTTTTAATTATCTTTATTGTTGTTATGTTGTTAGGTGCCACTGAGTTAAGTACAACTTACAGCAACTCTATGAACAACAGATCTGAGCCCCATTCTATCCTGTGTCAGCCTCACACTTCCTGACACACTCAAGCCCACTGCTACAGTCACTGTGTCAATCCATGTGGTTGAGGGTCTTCTTCTCTTTAGATATGGGCAAAGAAAACTGACATCACTCTGTCTCTGGCCTTCTGATTTTGATCACTGGAAGCAGCTACACCACCACCACATCATGCTCCTATCTCTGGCAACTCACAAAAGGTGTTATCCTGTCATTCCTGGCCAAAGGCAAATGTAGGAGGTCCAGAGCCACAGCAAAGTGAGAGTAAACCAATGAAACCAAATGGCTGGATGAGGGAAATGGTGCATCTGAGAATCAGTCACTCTCTAATTGCTGTTCAGTATAAATCAACTCATAACTGACCCACCAGGGAGTCAGGAAAGAGACTGTAAAGCACAAGGGAGGAGACTGCCAATCTTTCTCCCACAGAGCGGCGGGGGAATTCAAACCACTTGCCTTTGGGTTGGCAGCACAACTCTCTATCCACTAGGCCACCAGAGATTCCTCTCTGAAAAAGGGACAAGTAAAAGGGTAATGTAGCCACTATGAGGATTTACTAGTCAGCTTAAGAATGTACCCACTGAGAGCCTAGTTGTCTATAGGTCCAATGTCAAAGACACACCTCTTTCCTTTCAATAGTTCACAATAGAAAAACAAATAGTTCTCATAAAAACAGACTGAAAATTCCACAAGGATCCCAAAGATACACAAATTCGTAGATTCTTTCCATTCATGCATGAACCATTCTTAGGAGAAAGTCTCAACAAGTAAGACTGATTTCACTCCTTCAGTGACCTGGTGACAGTGACAGTGTGCCAAGCCAACAGTCACTGTCCTGGAGGCTCATGTTCTTCAGGTCTAACTCATGTCCAAATGCAGGTTATCATTGGAGGAGCTGGCTTCACAGGCATGCCATCTGTAAATGTGGAAGCCCAGCACATGCCAAAGAAAACTCAATAGTGGACAGAAGATAAAGTGGCAGCAGGTGAACACCAGCTCCGCCCACCCAACTCACCTTCACAAGGAAGAAGGACACACCATACGTCCGCAGGGACCGGGCCAGTTTGACATACTTCACCTTGGCTTCAATTTCGCTCATCTCTCCGCAATTCTTGTGCTCCTGCAGAAGTGACAGCAGTTGGAGACAGGTCATTGCCGCTCTAGCAGCTGGTGGATGCAGTGAGAGGTACCAGACATGGTGCATGCAGTGCCTGCAAACTGTGATGCTTGCATGAAAGATGCCCCTCCTCCACGACAGGAAGCTCATCCCAAACCGAGGGTCAGAGCACACAGACAGCACTTCAGTGGGGTTCACACCCAAACACCCCACCAATTCCACAAGTAAGCACAAAGGACTTCAAAGGAAAGGGTTCACAATCAACACTTTTATGACAGTTACAAAAATATCCTTCTAATCTCCATCGACAACATGTTTTCCAATGAGGAGGTTAATCTGTGCAGGCCTTTATATGAATTCAGATAAATAAATAAAGCAGAATGTATAAATATCACAGTGCTTAGAAAAATTACTACGTAAAAATGTGCTTTACACACTAAAAAATGTATATATCAGATTGAACTTACACCTCAAGGCCAAGACATTTCATTTTCAACATGATGAATTAACTAGAGTGATTGTTTCACTGGTCAGGTTTGATGACAAGGCCTTTCCTACTGGCTACCTCGAATAGACAACTTTTTGAATTTTTGAACAAACATGAGCTTTTGAAATGGCAACAAAGTTCTAGAAAAAGAAGCTACTTTTCCCTGGGGCACTTTGATGGCAAAGCAGCTGGTTTCAATACCATCAAGATAAAATTGAAATCCAACTCACTTCTGATCAGCATGGCCTCAAGCACAGCAGCGTAGAGCTGCTCTACTGGGTTTTGGTGGCACTAATCTTTACAGAAGATCACCAGGTCATCAGGCCTTCCACAGCGCTGCTGTGGAAAGTACCAACCTTTAAGATAGCAGAACACAAACTGCTTGTACCACTCAGGCATCCATCAAGATATTATCTCTTAAATTTAGATGTATGCACATTTTTCTCAGAAAGGACAGAAGGTATGGATTAAGATCATAAATCTGCCCAAAGCAGAACTGTCAGCTTCTTTACTTTTGACCTCTCATCATATAAGCAGCGCACGGGCAGAGGTTACAAAAGTCTCACTTGCAGCGGTCCCTCTCATATTAACAAATGAGGTGAGGGATGGAAGAGAATAACAAATTCTGTACATTTCCAGTACCTGAAATATCCTCTTTTCGGCTCCTCTCTGCTTGATGTACTCTTTGGGTAGGAATTCCTTTAAACTGAGAGGGAGGGAGACAAAAAAAATTCAACAGGCATTTACTGTGTTCTATGATGAGAAGCAAAGAAAAAGAGACTTTTCATAAAGCGGGCAGTTAAGTCCCTCACTTGTTCGATCTTTAAGAGGTAATTAACAACAGACTTCCATATTCCAAGATGAATTTAAATAAAGACACAAAAATACAGTCTGATAAAAGGGAGGAGGGCATCAAAATAACATTCTAAAAAGAATTTACAGAATATTAAGTGAAGGGGGAAATGCATAAAATTTTACAATATGCTACCCTTCATAAGAAAGAAGTTAATTTTTTTTAATATCAAAAAAATACAGCATTGAAAATAATAGAGGAATCAATCTAGTTATTAAGAAAAGCTGTTACCCACAGGGAAAGGAGAAAATAAGGGGAAGAAAGGAAATAAATCCTCTTTGTTCTTCTTATGATAATCTGGACTTTGGAAGCACATGAAATTACAGAGGGAGTTGTTGTTAGGTGCCATCGAGTTGAGTACAACCATAACGACCCTATGAACAAAAGATTTGAACCTTGTTCTATCCTGTGCTATCCTCACACTTCCTGACACACAAGAGTCCAGTGCAGCAGTCAGAGAGGGTAAGAAAAAAGAAAAAAAAAAAGAAAAGAAAAAAAAGGCAGACACCAGAAATAAAACACAAATGGAAACAAATGCACAGGACAATATATCAAGTTGGCAGCATAACTACTGAGAAAATAATCACCTCAAGTAATTTTAAAAACAGTCTTTGGACTTTTACATTGCTAGTGGGATTTAACTGAAAGATAAATCACAGTTGACTTGTTAGTAAAAATATTGGTATCATTTTAAAATGAACTTCTTACCTTCCTGCCTCTTCTGCCCCGGCGCCCCCTCCCAGCTCTCTATATGCACATATTTACACATGTAAAACCAGGCTGGTACATTATACATAAATCAGTCACTGCTGCTGGGTCTGTTCCAACTCACAACGACTCTCCATGAGGTTTCTGAGGAGACAAATCGTTAAGGGAAGAGACTGCCTATGAAGTGATGGGTGGATCTGAACTGCTGGGCTTCTGGTTAGTGGTCTGATTTATTATGCACTAAGCCATAGGACTCCTTAATACATAAACAGGGGACTATACTTAGGATAAAGTAAACAAATGATTAAATGAATTGTTAGAAACCAAGATTTTCAGCATAAAATAGGTAAAAAGAAATAAAAAGTTGAGTAAAAAGCCTGGAACCTTTCATTTGAACTGGAAACGCCAACTTCAACTCTTAAATCATTTTTTTTTTCTGTTTCTAAAACACACATACTTTCAAGATCTGTCCTCCGAAGACCTGGAAACAAGAATAGCCTGGCGGCAGCAAGCATATCCAGTGCCTTGGCTGTGTGGTTGTCAAGCACCATTTCCCATTGAGTGGAACTTGGGAGCCATAGAGAAATGGCTAGTTCTAGATCTGGGGCAGGAAATGCATCAAATATCCCAGGTCATTATGTGCCTCAGTGACTCGAGTGTGCTTTTTAGAGATTTCTTGCTCTATAAGTTAATTTAAATCACTTATACTAGAGATAGCGATACAGGCCCATCACCCAGCTTCACCAATTATTAAGTAGTCCATCAAGACTTGCCTCCTCCCCTCAACGTATTAAGTGAAAAGATGATGAGAAACTTCGTAATGGGTGGATTAGTCCAGCAATATCTAATCAGACTGATCAATTTCGGTATTTATAAGAATGTGAAAACTAGATACTACATACCTCTACTATGAGCTAAATAGCACTGCTTGGGAAGCATTCAGGGTAATGATTAATTAATTTCATTTAGCACCTAGGTCTAAATATTTATAAAAAAAGAAGCAGAGGAACATATGAAATACCATCATCTCTAAGCTACCAACAGCCAAATTTAAAAAAAGAATAAATTCTATAAAAGTAACACAGGTTTGGCATAAATAAATAGCTTAAGTGTGACACTGAAGAAGGGAAAGTGATGGAAGATTTTTAAAGATTTATGTATCTATTACAAGCTTACGGTAACTAAGATGGTTTGGTATTGATACATGAATACAGATCTAGAATAGACAATAGGATCAATGGAATAGAACTGACTGTCCAGACAGACTCTTCATAAAGGTGTCAAGGTCATTCAAGAAGGAAGAGCTCCTTCAATAGATGGTACTTTGACAACTGGATTCCCACATGCAAAGTAAGCAGGACTCCTACTTTGTACCACACACAAAAATTAACTAAACATGTATCATAAACCTGAATGGAAAAGCTAAAACTATCAAGCTGTTAGAAGAAAACAGAGTTAATCTTAATGTCCTTTAGCTGCACAAAATATTTTTAGATATGACCCAAAAAACCGGCAAAGTAAAAACACGGCAAAGGGGGGAAAATTAGATAAATAGGTCTATACCAATATGAAAAATGTGAGTAAAGCAAATAATTTCATTAAGAGAGTGAATATATCACTCAGAGAATGGGAGAAAATATTTTAAAATCATACTCTAAGATTTATGTTCAGAATATATAAAGATGTTATATAAGTCAAATAATAAAAAGCGAAGTTATCAAGTTTTTAAAAATGGACAAAGGATATGAATAAATCATTCTCAAAAAAAAAAAAGGATGTATAATTGTACAGAGAAGATGTACAACATAACTAACTATCAAGAAAACCCAAGTCAAGCTTCAGTGGGACACAGTGCCCACTCTCCCGTTCTCCCTCCTTCGCTTATTGCCATTAAGTCTGAACCACATCACAGCTGATGCTCCAACAGGTTTCCCCAAGCTGTAAACTGCATAGGAGGAGACAGCTTCTCTCTCTCCTAAGGAACCACTGCTGGATTCAAACCCCCAGAGAGGAATTGCCTTTGAATTAGTACCACAACCCCCTACAGACTACATCAGGGCTCTCACACACCCACTTAAAATGTACATAGAACAAAAAATACAGACAATAGCAAGTGCTGTGAGGGGGTGGAAAAAACCAGGAACTTTCACATATGGTTTCTGGAAATGTAAGATGAGGCAGATGTTGTGAAAAAATAGATTCCCCCCTTTAAAATGCTAATCATTAACTCTACTTCTACATATAAACTCAAGAAAAGGGAAAACATATTTGCACTCAAAAGCCTATAAAAGAATGTTCATAGTAATAGTATTTATTACAAGTAAGAAGGTAAAAATAGTCCAAATATCCCTCTGCTGCTGAATGAATAAAATGTGATTTATCTATACAATGACATATTGCGTAGGTATAAAAATGAATGAAGGAGAGACATATACTACAATATGGGAGAACCTCGAAAACACTATGCTGAGTAAAAAAAGCTAGTTACCAAAAACTCATGTTCTATGACCCCGTCATATGAAATATCTAGAATAGACAACTCGAGAGACAGAAAAGTGTTTTAGTGCACACAAACAAGTCCAAATGGTCAACCACAACTGAATGGATTGAGAAATTGTGGTACATTCCCACAACAGAATATTATGCTGCACTCAGGAGCAATGATTTGGAAAAATCATTACTACAATAACTTTGGAGAGACTGGAGAGCATTATGCTGAACGAACTTACTCAGTCTCATAAAGGCAAATACTGTATAAGGCCATTATTGTAAAAAAAGAAGGATAACTAGTAAAACATGTATGGGGACCCAAAGGGGTAAGAGTAGGAACAGAGGGTGAGGATGGGAGGGGCAAAATCACAGGGTTGCACAATCTGGTGTGTGGAGGAGGGGGTGAAGGAAATGGAAAAGACTTGGTGGGGACCTGAAAAGGCAGGGTAATGATGAGACAAGTCCAACGGTGATTAATTTTATAAAACATAATGCATGGGAATGATTGTATGAAACACAGTGTGAATCAAGAATAGAGTGAAATACAATGTATACCAACTTTATCAGCAAGCCAATACAATATAAAATTAAAACAAAACAGTAACAAAGTATATTAGTGATTGCAAAGGCAAAGATGGAATGGTTAGAATGGAAGTGACTGTTCACAGGTTCACAGTTTCTTTCAAGAATTATAAAAATGTTTTACAATTTTATTATGGTGGTTTCACAACCCTGTTTCCTCCTGTGCAGCCTCTGAAGACCCACCAGAGGATCAGCCCTGGGTTGGTTCACTACTACTGAGGACAAAAAAAAACATATAGGTGAAAACATTACACTGTATACTGAAAATGAATACACTGTATGAATTATATCTCAATAAAGCTATTAAAAATGAAATAATGTATCAAACACAACAGACTTCATTTGGATCCTGGTGTGAATCAAATAGAAAATGATACTTTGAGGCAAGGGAGAGAAAAAAACCCAAAACCCAGGGTGGATACTAGATGATAGTAAAGAATTATTGCTAATTTTTCTGGCTGTCAAGATGGATTTACGGTTTTGATTTATTCATTAAAATATTTTATCTGTAAGAGAAACATACTAAAGTATTTATACATGAAATATATTATCTCAGACTTGCTTAAAAATACTTCAGAGAAAAAGAAGGGGAGAGGAAGCCCCACTCTGTCTCAATTATTCAGTGATCCTGAATAGTGATCAATCTGCAATCTACTTCTTCAGACAAAGAAACTCCAGGGTCTGGGGCTGAGTGCTAGAAGAACACATCCCCTTAGTCCTCAAAGCAGCCAGCAACAGGGGTCTGGAAAAGATCTCACAAGCAGCAACTTATGATGTTATGATCATGATTAAGCAACCTGCTGAACAAAAATGAATAAGAATAACAATATGAGAATAGTATGTTGTTGTTGTTATGTGCCATCGAGTCACTTGCGACTCATAACGACCCTATGTACAACAGCCCTAAACCCTGCTCTATCCTGTGTCAATCGTACTGTCTCTGACACACTCACCCCAACTGCCCCAGTCACTGAATCAATCCACCTCAAAGAGGGTCTTCTCCTCCTATGCTGTCCCTCCACCCTCCCAAGCATGATGTCCCTCTCCAAGGACATGAGAATGGTATGGTGGGG